CGTCTTAAATGAAAAATTCGAAGAATAACTCGTTGGAATTTTGAGAAATGTATCAGACCGTGAAGGAATGAAAACACCATGGGAGATTCACCACGAGGTACTTACCGTATCAGCCGGTATTTACACAATTTCATGCTCAATTACAAACGCCGGCTAGATTAGGTAACACACAGCGCAGATAATCCGATTAGATAAATACCGTCTACCATTCTCGCACTCCGACGTGTCAACGATGTAACCATACGCGTTCTCGTTTGTCACAGTTTGTCGCTTTTACTAATATCGTCAAGGCGATAATCCCGATTCCGGTCGAATAGAAATTTTATAACGATACCTCGATTGCGCAACCTTGATTTTGAAACGTGATTTTTTAAGCGTCAAAAGTGTTCCGTTCACGAAATTTTTCGAGAAAGTTCACCCAAGACGATTCTAGATCTCGCGATGTGGCATCCAGATAGCAAGCATTACTTGGATCTAGTTTGACCTTTCTCGTTTTATTAACCACGTCAGCTCAAGTATGCCCCATCATCTCAGCAACGCTTCGACTCTCATAAAGAAACGGATAGAGCGCATACCTTCGGGATCCTCCCAGATGAGCAACGAACCTAGAAATTATGCAAACTGATCGGTTGCACAGTTCTGAATCCGGTTGAACATTGCCTTCCGAATTGCGTTCGCGGCACTGTACAGATTTCGTTCGACGTTTGACCTTATCTCTGTTACCAGGAAAAATTACGCGGTGCTATCCACGTTTCAGTTTCACGTCAATGTGAAAAAGTCATTTCGTTCCATCTAGCATAAGAAGTTCTCCATGAAGCACCTAGTTCATTAGTTCGTCGTAATAGCTACCCGTTCAACAATATTGTGAAGTCTGATGTACAAATTGATACAACACTTCCTTTCTCCTACGGTAGCTTCTGCACTTTTCAACCCATGTCACAACAACAATGTTAGTATGGGAATTGGCTGTCATTATTAGTCATCGCTCGGAGGCGATAATGTTGCGTTTAAATTAAATTACAGTCTTGTTTCTTGCACGAAATATTCAAAATTAGAAAAGGTCAACGTTGAATGATACATACCTCTGGGTACGAAATTAAATCGATATCGATAAGTCTTCGCACTTCCAAAAAAGGTTAGCAACTTTGTGCTGAAACGATCAAGTGAAGAAATTCATATATTTTGAAACGTTTTTAGTCAATCTTATCGTATAGGATTAATTGAAATCAGGTACTGTGCGAATACCTCGACGCCCACTGTATATGCATTCCTTAATATCGTTTCATACGTCTTACAGATTATGAATAGGTAAGTGTTGTAACGGTATTCGATTATCTCCTGTAGTTATTATTCTTATTAGTAGTAGTTCTAAATTGATAATTAAAAAATTGTATATAATTTTTCTGTATGAATCTTTAAATACATCAAAGTTGATTTAGAACCTAGCAGAGATTCGCTAGAAAGTAAGATTACAACCTTCTACGGCCTGGAATGACCTTTGGTTACAACCTCCTGAACTGGTTTCAGCAACCACTATTTGACTGGGAACTACAAAAATGAAGCGTCCCACCTAGGAAGAAGTGCTCTGAACAGCTTACGATGCCGTTACGTTTCCGTTTCAAATGTATACAAATTACTACAGGGTGTGAAGTTTTAAAAAAAAATATTTAAAAAAAACTCGAATAAAATAATTAGTCAACGGCACTTTCCTTTTGTCACCGTTATTCAGAACTATAGGATATATTAAAAACATTCTTTATTAGCTATTTTATCGATCTATTTGTAACAGATTGTAACTGAAGTTGTAACACATGGTGGAAGAGTGTATTACGCGTGTTTCAGTGGAATCGACTCATGATAGAACTAATTGCTACCGACTTGCTTGTCGTCGGATGATACATGCACCTATGCCAATATATTAATGTTACAATGTAAGGTTCCTCGTGAACAGGGTTGAGGTGGGGCAACGATACGAGGGCGACTAGGTGTTCTGAAGAGAGTGGCTAAATGCATGAACAAGGAGAACGGGAAGGGAAAATCTTGTTGCGCCTCTTCATATAAATGCCGGCAGTACTTGCACATGGTATTGCGGATTCGGTCTTCTTCAAATCGACATCACGACACAGAAACGGTCATCATGCAGCATTTAGTGAGTGATCGCTGTACACGCTCGTCAGCGTTCCCCAGTGACGTGAAATTGAAGTGAAATTTATTAGCGCTATTATTCGCTATTTATCTGAATTAGATCTGGCAATATTTCAAACGTGCAGAAATGCAAGTTTTTAAGTATCCAGTTTACAAACGTTTAGCGAGAAACTAAAAGACCCTCGTGGTTCACAGTCAGTGAGCATTTATTTGAATTTTTCAATTCAACAAAGATATATCTCCAGGTTTTCGTGAAAGGGGATTAAAATGATCGAAAAAGTGAATAAATGCTCATTGTCTATATAATCGAAGTTCGAGTCACGTTAGAGTTTATTTTCTGATTTCAGTTTTTCGTGTTTGCTTTGTTCTGCTGCGCTGCGGGACAATTCGGATCGTATCGAGGTTTCCCGAATCAAAATGCGTACAGGCCCACGCCCGCACCGGCTTATCAGCAGCCCCAATACACTCCACAATACAAGTACTTAATTGTATTTCGGTCTATCACTGTCTTCGTTACCTTGTGCTACCGAACTACAACTGTATTGACTTAAAGTTCACTTAAAGTTCTAAACAAACATACGCAATTTTGTTACAGTTCTCCTGGCAGGTTTATAGCTATTCGTAGCCAACAGAAAGATACTTATCCGGATGGAACCTATACTTTTAGCTACGATACCGACAATGGAATCTCGGTCTCCGAAAGTGGCCGTCCTCAAGGTACTGGACAGGGCCAAGCCGAGGTAATAATTACGATCGTGCCACTGTTATTGTCTTTTTAACAATATGTAACACTTAACCTTCCTCTCCGCGGTCGGGTCAAAAGCGACCGACATACTATAGCTCCATCGTTAGGTTTTTGCAACTGTGAAGACTGAATTCAATAAGACCGAAATCACCCAAAGGTTGTAAATAGAAATTAATTTGGTTTAAAAAAAAAAAATTTTTTTAGTGAGTAATATCCCTATTTGTACGTTTTTAGGTGGCAAGGTTAGATCCGATCCATCGTAGGAGAGGAGGGTTAATATTGCATTGGAAAAGAGAAAGAAAAATGTTAAAAATCTCTAATTCGGTATGCACCTCTTTTCCAGGTCGTCCAAGGCAGATTCTCGTACAACGCGCCAGATGGTACTCCTATAACCGTGGAATACACGGCCGACGAAAATGGTTTTCATCCTCAAGGTGCTCACCTGCCAACTCCACCGCCAATTCCAGAGGCTATCAGAAGAGCCCTTGCCGCCAATCCGCCAGGACCCGATGACGATTACAGACAACCGTACAATTCCAACCCTTACCGAAGATATTAGGCGAAATCTACCGACCAAATGATCGCAAAAACAATCCGAGACTCGAAACGTTATTGCCTTGTAACCCGCCGCGATGTTTGTACAATGTACATACAACGGGGAATAACAGAGACGTCAATTTTCACTGTGTAACAGTCATTATACGATAATACGAATAAATTCTCCTATTTGTTTACACATTTAAGCGTTATCTCTTCGCACCCTGTAAAACCTCTTCGGTCCTCGATCTCTTTCCAGTTATTTGGGGTTCGAAAAATATTTATTCTTTATCTTGATTAAAACAGAAAGGGGGTTGGGCCAAAATGAAACGATAGCGAGGAATAATGTTCTTCGAAGATTGGCGTATTATTACGGCTTCCAAAGTAAACTACTATGATTTTTCGAGTTTTCCCAAATATCATGCTTTTTGATACAATAAGATCTATCAGTAAATAATAAAATAGTGCGGAATGAAAATTAATACTATAATAGAGTAGATAGAAGATACCTATGCCAATAGGAGATGCTTAAATAGTATGTAATTTCTTGAATCGTGTGATTTGCACCAATTACGAGTCAAGTTTTTTTATTTCACAAAGAGTAAGTAATTACTTGAATTATATGCTTCGTATCAATTGAGACTTATAATTTATGAGCCAAGTTTTGATTGCACAAAGAGGTAAGGAAACACGCGCAGAATGCCATTTTCTTCTCATCGATGCTTCTTCTTCATACATATACATACATTTAGTAGTAAGCGGTATATAGGCCACAATGGTATACGGAGTGAATGATAAGGTAACGTACAAACTCTTACCATAATACTACGTTGGAACGTGCTGGGTTGAACTTCAGTTGCACGTTGCACCACGCCTCTGGTTGCACGTAAGAATCGCGGTAAACGAACAGGGATGGGACGGGATGAATACGAGTGAAAGTGTACTATTGGATCTTTCATTATCTTACATTTTTCTTCGGATCATCTTGGTCAAGGACTATCTAACATGAAGAGTGCAATTTAGGCAGTCTCTGCACTTCCTTTGAAAGGTTCGTTCACTTATAAGATTAAACGTGGCATACAAAGTACGCGTTTTACCTAGACGAAAACTTCGAATAACGCATACAAAATTAACAACGTTTTATCCATTATACCTTGCATAAAAATTGCAACTTCAATGAAAAAATAAAATCTTTTGCGAGGATAAGATAAAAGTTTCCGAAAGTAGTTATTCAGTTGAATATTCTGTTGCAGTTCTAGTATTGTGTGTTCTATTGTATACTCGAATAAAATTTTGTCTAGCGAGTATTGATTAATAATAGCGATGAATATAAACACGAATTTTATTATTTCTAGCCAGAAGCATAACGCGGGTTACATGTATAAATTTTAAATAGTATTTTGTAATAAAACATTTTCAATTTAATTATTATAAAAATTAATTTAAATTGAGAATAAAAAATACTAACAATCTCATCGACTGTACTATAAGCCAAATACTTTACCGATAAATAATACTACTCTGTAGTTCATGATTCGAACGTAGATGTCAGTAACGAACGTTGCGATTTTGCTAGTAATCTAAGGGTATTATAACCTTAAAATTGACTTATGCCATCTTTATTCGTCGAGTGACTGAAACTGGTTTTTCTAAAAGTCTAAGAAAGTTTAATATATATCAAAATGCCTGATCACTTAGGAGATGATATGCGCAAAGTGAAGAATGATGAAGAAAAGGAAGAAAAAGAAATAAAATGTAAGTTCGCTATGTATGAATTTCTCGTTCTTTTGTCAATGATTTTACATGGTACATTACATATTTATGGTACTTTTAGCTCTGGATGAAGGAGATATCGCTCTGCTGAAAACCTATGTAAGTAAACTTTCGTAATACAAAAAGAAGAAAACATCAATGAATTCCTTTCTATGTAGGGCCAAGGACAATATACGAAAAGCATAAAAACTGTCGAAGAAGATATTCAAACTATAATAAAACGGGTTAACGAATTAACAGGAATCAAAGAGTCAGATACTGGTTTAGCACCACCTGCTCTTTGGGATCTGGCTGCAGATAAACAAACTCTGCAAAATGAGCAACCGTTGCAGGTTGCACGTTGTACAAAAATAATCAATGCAGACTCAGATGATCCTAAATATATTATAAATGTAAAGCAATTTGCAAAGTTTGTAGTTGATTTAGCAGAGTCGGTTGCTCCAACCGATATCGAAGAAGGCATGCGTGTGGGAGTAGATCGTAATAAATACCAAATTCATATTCCACTGCCACCTAAAATTGATCCGACCGTAACTATGATGCAAGTCGAGGAGAAGCCTGACGTGACGTACAGCGACGTCGGCGGTTGTAAGGAACAAATCGAGAAATTAAGAGAAGTTGTTGAAACTCCTCTGTTACATGTTAGTATTTTTCAATTGCTAAATTCTCTTCTAATTACACGCATTTTTATATATGAGAAATATCCTAATTAATTAATTACAGCCAGAAAAATTTGTTAATCTGGGAATCGAACCGCCTAAGGGAGTATTGTTGTTTGGTCCACCAGGAACGGGTAAAACTTTGTGCGCTAGGGCTGTAGCTAATAGAACGGATGCTTGTTTTATACGCGTCATTGGTTCTGAGTTGGTTCAAAAATATGTTGGCGAGGGTGCTCGTATGGTACGAGAATTGTTTGAAATGGCGCGTAGTAAAAAAGCATGCTTGATATTCTTTGATGAAATTGATGCTATTGGAGGAGCTCGATTTGATGATGGCGCGGGCGGTGATAACGAAGTACAGCGTACTATGTTGGAACTAATCAACCAGCTGGATGGGTAAGAAATACTTTTGTTATACTTGTATACTTGATAATTAAAGAAAACTAATGTTTGTGATTCTTAATGTTATAGTTTTGATCCAAGAGGTAATATCAAAGTATTAATGGCGACGAACAGGCCTGATACCTTAGATCCAGCGTTGATGCGACCAGGACGTTTGGACAGAAAAGTAGAATTTGGATTACCAGACTTGGAAGGCCGAACGCACATTTTTAAAATTCACGCACGTTCGATGAGCGTCGAGAGGGACATAAGATTTGAACTTCTCGCGCGTTTGTGTCCAAATAGTACCGGAGCCGAGATTCGTTCCGTTTGCACCGAAGCTGGAATGTTTGCTATTCGCGCGCGTCGTAAAGTAGCGACGGAAAAAGATTTTCTAGAAGCCGTGAACAAAGTCATTAAATCTTACGCTAAATTCTCCGCAACCCCTAAATATATGACTTATAATTAAGCGCGTTATCAATTCTTCTAATTAACCTTAAAACGATTATGTATGCAATAATATCGAATTGCTAGTTATCAGAATCGAAAAATGATTGTTAATTATAATTAAACAATAAATTGGAATGTGCTTTTTTTTAATACCGCATTGTTATATAAAAAGTATTTTACATATTTGTACATCATTACTGGTTTAAGAAGAAATAGAATCTGCTCGTAAGATATTACGGAATTTGAATTTCAATGGTGCATTAGGTTTATTAATCAATAAAGATAGTATCCCAAGTTTGCCTCCTTCCCAAGCGAATTGCAATCGTCTACACATCTGTATGAAAACAAGAAACACAATTCATAGTGTACACGAATTGCTAAAAACGATGCATTTAAGTCCGTTAACCTACCTGTAATAAAAGTACTTGCATATTTTGCTCTGCGAAACGTCTAGCTATACATGAACGGGGGCCATGGCCAAATGGTAATAACACATATGGATGTACTGATTTTCCAGAAGCCATTTTGTTTTTTTCCGTATTATCCCGAAGCCATCTTTCGGGTATGAACGTGTCTGGCTCGCTAAAATATTCGGGTAGCCGACAAGTAATTTGATTTTGTGTCACAACCACAGTCTAGAAAAAGCATGTATAATAAATACAGTAATTCTTAATTTTTGTATTTTTCTTTTTTTTTATAGAAACTTACCCCCTTGGGTATTTCGTATCCACCAATAATGGCGTCAGTTTGTAAGATACGACCTATTCCAACAGAAATGGGATTTAATCGCAAACTTTCTTTTATAACAGCTTTGGTATACAAAGCATTTCGTAGAACATTTGCTGTTACTGGTTGATTATGATCAGGTAATAATCGCATAGCTTCGGATCTGAGTTTCTCTTGTATATCTTGATTCTTTGCAAGATGGTATAACGTGAACGCAGTACTGTAGGTAGTCTAAAAGATGTTGCAGATAAATTTTTCTGTACTAGGTGCTACCAAAAAGATATTACGCAATATTTACATATGATATTTACAGTATCTATACCAGCAAGTAACATATCACAAGCCATACCCACGATGTCTTTAATATCCAGAGCAGGGTTTTCTAAATAAGCGTTTAGAAATGATTTATTTTTCCGAGCTTCTTTATCTTTTTTCAGGGATACCAGTTCTAACGCAACTCTAATATAAATAATTAATATCATATAGTCTTTATTATGAACACTGTTTAAAGAAGGCTTTGCTTACGTTTCCATATACATTTGCGCTTTACGCAACTTTCGATATAAAGGCGTTTCAAAAAACCGCCATAATTGTAGCCCATTATCCAACTTTAAAATCGCATTGTTTGTCGCGTAAGCAGCTTCGATCAATTTTGAACTTCTAGAATTTTTACATCGTTCTTTTTTCGAAAAACTATCGAGCCTCGAGTCAAAAACAATCAGACTAGTTACTGAAATAGAAAATTTACATTTGACTCGAATAAAGATGTTCATGCGAGCATTTTAATACCGACGTAGTGATAAGAATTTATAATATTTTTTAATAATCGTAAACAATTACATTCTAGGTACAAGCGCGATAAAATCGGCAGGAGATCCTCAAATTGCTCTCTGCTACATAATTCGACAAATTCTTGCACAACGTGATTTGTTTCCTCTAAATAATTCATTACATCTTGAGGTTTGCTAGTAACTTTTTGAAATTCTTTTCGCAATCTCCACCATTCTGGCCCATTGCTAAAATTCATTTTTGTATTTTGTTCACAGTTTTGTTTATCGTGTGCCGTAAATAAAAATGAAAAAAAAGTGTATATTACGTGGGTAATAGGCCTCCAGTACTGTAAATATCTTTTCGATCTTTTCGATATTTTAGAAGAGCTAAGTGACTTCTCCTTTCTGGATGCAGACCAGCTTCCGCTTTAAAAATCTCGGCTATGTCTTCTGGCCGATAGATCCATACGACATTCACAGTGGGTACTATTTCTTCGCGCACTATTGGCCCGAAAGACTTCAATTTTTTTAACCCACTTTTGTACAGATTCGTAAAACTATACTCGCCTATATTCCAATCAACATTCCAATGTAAGCATTTATATTTTCGATCCTTCAACACATCGATGGAAAGTATAACGTTTTCATTTCAAAAACACAAAGTAATTTCTTTGGATAGATCATTACGTTTAAGACATTACGCACAGATTATAACATTACATCTATTTGCATCAAAGACGAAATATTGTAATCGCCAACAAATAGTTTTTTTCTCACCAGTTAATGGTAGATATTTGTAAAGTGTTCCAATAACGGGTAAAGATTTAGGACCGGGTACATCCTTGAAAGGTCTCGGTTGAAATTTATGTGCTGCGGTGTTGTGTGTCGGAAGGTGATCACAATAAAATCGATCACACAATTTCTTCTTAGGTATACATTGATTGTATTTGCTCATTCTGATGTACATTGCACTTCACGATTGTTCACGCAATAAATTATTAGTAAAAGTTAGAGAATTGTATTGAATATTTTCAACAACGATCTAGAAACAAAATACATCTACGCGGCATGGATCCCAAGCGTTGTGTATTCGATCCTTCAGAGCCCTGCGAGTCCGAGCATGTTTCCCTCTCCACTGATTTCACTGCTTCTTTCTTTGCTCTCTCCGTCTCTTGTTCAGGTCAGGTATTGAAATTCAATGAGCCGCAAATCTTAGCATGAATTTGATGCGCCAGCGATAAAACATATCGTTGACGAATTCTGTTACCAGATACAATTCTTACGATTAGACAGATCCTACAGCGGGAAATCACAGTTACAATTTAAGTGTTTAACTAACCAGCGGTTATGCTTATCATAATACTACCTGATAATAATTTCAATACTATACACGATAAATGATGAAGAAATTAAAATAATACATTGGGTAGTTGTTTGAATTTTTTGAATGTTTTTCGGATGTTTGAACTAATAAAACTGATGCGAACCATAAATTGCACAAGAAACTTTGTGACACATTATATTGTTACATCTATAATAAATTGGCTCCTCTGCTGTTTGAAAAATATCTTTTAAAATATTCTTGGCGATTTGAGCGATGACCTAACGGGTGCATTCAGAAAAGTTACCGCTCATTGAGCCGCTCATCGAGCGGTTCTTAGTACTAGTGGCGCCATCGGTGTGAAAATAGTTCCCATCATTTTTTGAAGATGGCGCCACCATATCTATTAGTTAATTTCTTTTTTTTCATAAATTGCACAATTCTTAAGATTCTCTGCTTTATAATACAATAATATATAAGTTAATATATTAAATGTATTATTTTTATGAATAGTTATTTAATGGAACCATAATTATCGACTCTTTTTGTTAGTAGTGCCATCTTATAGAAACGGTGGGAACTATTTTCACTACAAACTTGGGCATTTTCTCACCGATGGCGCCACTGTCGAAAGGGTCGATAATTGTGAAAAATACAAATTCAAACATGTTATCGGTGTGTATACATAACAAAATAAGTACTCGATGCATTTTGAAATATATAATTTATTATTAATGACTCAAAATTTCGTTATTAAGTAACACGAAGCTTCATAATAGTTTTGAACTACTATGGAATGATAGATACAATGTTCCATATTGAAAAATATTAACAACGCGACGAAATCACATGGGTACGGCGTTGATCCACGCAATTAGAAAATTCTTCAACTAACTTAGAACACATCAAAATTTCATTAGGGTGTTCTTGGTAACACTTAAGTATTTTCACATTACTCTCAAAACATGGTTGTACCTCATCTTCGATATTCATATTCTTTTGATCAACTGAATGTAATTTTGCTGCAGCTTTCTTATATTCATGATCCAGAATGTTGGTCATTTCTGAGTAATGTTTTTCTATACTTTTTAAACGATTTTTCCAATATTGGTTTTGATTTTTAAGTTCTTGTTCCTTCTGCTGCTGCATTTGAAGAGCAGTTAATGTTAATTGTGGGTAATAGTATGTAGGATACTCAGAAGACGATGGTATATTCCTGTCATGAGGTAGTCTCGAAGACACAACTGTATTAGTAGGTGAGTGTGTCACATCGGTAGGTTTTACTTCATTCACAGGTTCAGAATTACCTTCATTTACTTTTTCATTCATTCGCTCTACAACTGCTTGCGATACCTTGACAACATCTATGTCTTCTTCATTCTCAATTGTAAGCTTACGAGCACTTTGTCCTCCTCCCATTTCAACAATTATCATACAGGATAATTACCAACAAACTGCACGACCTTATTTATATCGATGCAATTCTTTTTCACGGAACCATGTAAATTTATTCTTGTATGCCTCTTGTTGTTTACATTTCCAAAAAACCATACCAATGTTTAAAGTTCTTCATGTCTTTCTTATTAGTAGGTATCAATGAAGAAATAGCACTGATTTGTTTCACGTATGAATTTTTATAGACCTTGTATTACAAATACTGTTAGGCTATGCTTTATGATACATACCCGGTTTCTTATTGAACCTATTTGTACTTACCAATGGCTACTATTAGGTATGGATGTCGCTCTGCTATCCACTAACGCCACCTACCCACTTTGAGTTAACTAAATATCGCATCGAGGAAGTTGTGGGTAATGTGAATTCGATAATGTTACCAACATTGGGGACAATTTTACTACAAACTTGGGCGTTTTACCACCAGTGGCGCCACCAGTATTAAAACTATAATAATTGATTCCTGATATTTAAAAAGTTTAATTTCTGTGATAACAATAGTAATAATAAACACTACGAATTTTATATTCTTACCATTCTTTAAAGTACACTTTATCGATTTTTTTTTTATATCGAAGATCATGAAAATGAAGAGAACTAACGACGTGTATTTAAAATTCAAGAAGAATGCATAATATACAATAAATTAAGTAGAAAAAGAAGATATAGAAAGAGTGTATATATATATATTAACTAGGTGAATAAATTTGATAGATAACATTTCATTTTATTTTATAGACGAAATTTGTTTCGTTGAATGTCAGGAGCTTTCTTAATCTTATATAAGTCTTTTAGTAATAGGATTTGATGTAATTTTGTTGTCAAATGGGATTTTAGGAGATACACGAATTCAGAGACAAGGTTCCGTTGCGCAAAGTCGCCAGTGTATTTATTTGTGTGACGTGTGTGTCTTATACGCACAATCATATCATAATCCGTAAAGGAAAATTGCGAAGGCGTAGGTCCGGTCTACTCTACCAAGTAGGGACAGCGTGCCTTGTTCACGTAGGCTTTTAAGCGTGATTCGACTTCGACTTGGCCGCTGGTGGATCAGTGATCGGGTACGATTAGACGCGTAAGGATTCGTCTCTGAATCTGCTGGAAGTAATTCGAAGGAGCGAGTCAATGATTACTTAACTTTTCATCCGTTCCAACAACACCAATTTCATTAATTAAAAATGCGAGGAATACGACTGGCATTGTTCGTTGCGGTAAGCTTGCACTGTTTCTAGCCTACTAATTCCACGTTTAACCCTCGAAATAAACAATTATCATAGACGTTGCCTATTTTATTTAACTAATGTTTAACGCACACAGTGTCATCGTGACGACAGTTACTCCGTCATTATCGAAGTCTTATTGCGTTTAAACGGAAGTTTCTGTCATGTATACGTAATTAAAACGTGAAGTATAATGCGTAATGGTACAATCACTTTTACTACGCTGCCTCGTCTATTAGCAAACGTACACCGCATTTGGTATTAAATGGGTTTAATGCACTGTTAGTTTCACTCGAAGTTCAAGTTCAGTCATGCATATACGAGCCAGCATCTCCACGGAGCATGCAACAGTAAGGCATTTCCCATTTAATTTCATCTTATATCCAGTTTACATCTATGTGATATACTAATTATAATTTACTCTATGAATTCCAATCGTTTGACGGAATTTTCATTTTTGTAGATTATATTAGTCTCGACTATTTACAGGTATGTTTTGTCTTGAAATGTTTTCGCGTTGAATGTATCATGTTCGGGTACCGATACACGTGGAAAGTTCTTTCGCGTGTAATCGTGCCATTGAAAGTGGTCAGAGAAAAATGATCGACGATCGGTTTGCTGGACCGTGATTCGAACCCGGATCTCTCGTTCGTCGGACAATCAACCAAGTGAATTGTCCATATCGACAATTAGACTCTTCTCTTACTGAGACCAGATCGCGTAATTTTGTTTAATTTGAAGCACGCTTATACTTTCGCCGTTACTCTCAATTGTTCCGTTCGGCAAAATAAAGAGGGCGATAAAATGGCCGAAACAAAGAAATTTCCGAGTCGGCGATAGACATCACCGAGCAGCGGATACTCGCAATGTACGATTTGACGATAAATCATCAACAGGCGGATACACGCAATGTCAGACAACGTGTATCTTCGTTGACTGAGATTACAATTTTTTGATTGCATCTGTTTCCTGGCAATTGTCTCCTACAATTCATGAGAATTTTTCTCAGCGTTGCCTTTTGTTCGCTTTATAAATACATAGTGACTAAGGAGGTGTAGAATAAGAAAGCAATTAATGAATTAGTATTCGCACGCTTTGTAAAGTATTTCGAAAGAAATTTGAAATTTCGCAATGATCGTTTGTTGTGATAGCTTTGCAATGTTAAAGCTTTAAATCGTATAGAGGAAAATGGGCCGTAAAAGAACAAATATCTCGCATGCGGAATATCTATCAGTAATAAAATCGCTGAATAAGGTCGTAGCGGTATTTTAGTAATTGGCATGATGTCATACCCGTATTTTCATAGCTCCATTTCTATAAGGATTTCCCTGACGTAACTGGAAAATGTCGATGTAGTAACGGTATTTTGTGCTTCCATGTACGGTCTCGCGTGAAACACATTTAAATGTTAGCGCGCGTTTCTATCCGCTATTTGAAATTATTTTGGACGTTATCATAGCGCTCCTCGCGAATTGGAATCATATGTATTGTTCCACCGCAGATAATGACTTTTTGCTTCCCATTGTTTATACTGATGCGATTCAATCAATTGAATTTGATTGTATACCGAGAGTAATGGCATTGAGATTGCGTTGTGTTCCCTAACGTTACTCTGTATTCTGCAAGGAAATTGCTAATCTACAGGTACGAAAGAAAAGAGTACGCTCCTCATAATAGAGTTCGTATTAAAGTTTCAATCACTTTCGTTCTTTCATTTCGCAGGGTTTTTAAAACAGCCATGCATCAAATAGCGCGGTTGCACACATCTCATTATGTTTTTTCTGCTGGCATCAAGGAAAGACTGGATCTCATTTTGATGGGAAAAGGCCAAAGGACGTTGAAAGATAAATCATTCGAATTACGTAATTACCTGTAATTACGTTAGGCCTAAACGGTAATTTTATATTTTTAATTGCAACGAATTGGTAGATGGAATTCAGATTTACAAAATTTTTTACATGAAACAGTCTTTGAAAGACTGATTGTACTTCGCTTTGTCTTCCGAGGCACAGACTTATAAATCGTTGAAATTTCCTTCGGCAGTAATTGGGTAATGGTAGTTGGTCGTAATAATGTCATTGCTGAAAAACAACAGCAACGAAAGAAGGTCGAGTTGAAACTGGATCTGTGAGAACGGTACATTAGTGTACGTATAAAAGTTTCACTGTTGACGACGACGGCGCCTCGTACATATTCACGCAGTCGCATTTGTTGAACGTGTACAGTATTCTCGGCTCGTAAAAGTGAAAGCGATGCAAACGAAGGAGAAAATATGATCGTGAAACTCGACCAGCGGATAGCTATAAGAGGATGAATTGGGCTTTCTTGCGCGTGATTTGCTTAATGCTTGTCAATTTTCATCGCTGAAGTGTTTGCGAATGAAAGTACTTAAATTCTCCTATGAAAACGTCAGCGCTCGATGTGCTCATAAGATCACAGATTTCTTTTTTTTTTTTTTTTTTTTTTTTGACGCAATGCAAACTTTGAAGAGAAACTAATTTCTTCGTTGCCATTTGAAAAGAGATTTTTGCGAGAGCATCGTACGGTTCGATATCTATTAAAAGTTTTTCATTCTATTTTTAAGCATTGTCAACCACCGAGCTTAACGAAAGCGAACGTTGAGCGGTTGATACGCAAAAGGTTTACAATGTACATTACCATGCAGTCATCGCGATGCGTGAAGGTATTTGTAATTAGAGGCAGCACGTTAAAGGAATGCATAACTATAAGTTTCTGTGAGGTAACTTTAAATGTAGAGTGATCATCTGTAATTGCAGATGGGCGCGGTTTCGTCCGTCAGGAAAAACGGTGCGTGCTTCTCGAAGGGGGTAGGGATAAGGCTGGGAAGGAAAGAGCTGAGATCCATGGAATGGTTGACGATACTCTGAAAACACAAAGCATCCACCGGGTTTCAGTTCCCGTATCGCGTCCTCTGTGCTCGCTTCGTTGATAGCCGTGCTGGTGATACACCGTGGTACTCGCATATACTTTTCTTCCCCATTTCCTGCTCTATGAACTTTTATCAAAGTAATATTTAAACAACGATCGTATTGTGTCGCATTTAACGAAATAAAGTGGTTCGTTAAAATCGTCAAATCATAGTTACACATCCTAGGAGTACATTCCGACGAGTTTCGAGCTAGCTTACATATTAAAATAGCGAATATACAGTCGATCACATAAATATTCGTACCCGCTATGTCTATTGAAGAAGTTTGACTAAATTAAATAATAGTTGTGACATTACGAAATGAATTTTTTATTATAAATACATGTATGGATAACCTTATACACGTATTTGAAATGAAACAGAAATTTAGTATTTTTCAAGAACCTCCCTTTGCGAGAGTCACCGTTCGAATCCTTCTCGATATACATCGAATATTTAGTGTAACTTGAAAATGTTTTGATGGAACTATGAATCTTGTTTATCGCTTCTCCAATAAGGCCAAGAGAATCCTCTTATTTTTTTCATTCTACTTTATGTATAACGAGCATCGCGTAACGATCAGTTTGAGTTGAAGGATGCATTGCGATTTTCCAGAAGGTATCTGCATGTGCTTTATCCTCTCTCGCGCGACGCTTAAACCGGACTGTGATAAAGAAGAAGAGAAAGAAAGCAGCATGGCGGTGTAATTCTTCTGTACTTGAATATATATCGCGAAGACTATGTTTCTGCGGGCATTATGTTGGCTGAATATTTTAACGGTATGTTCACGTTTGTATTCGTTCAATTGCTGTTTAGAAATGGTTGAAATTGGAGCTCAGTGAACAATTTTGTTATTTATGTCTGCAATCTCGTCAAGTATGGTCTATGTCAATGAAAAACTGTTAACGAGAGTAGGATGTAACGTAATTACAGAGCAATAATCGGTGTCCGGTAATTACAGTCCAAGGATTGTTCGCAGTCCAAGCAATGGAGCATCCATTTCGTATTTGAAGAGAGCCTAATGTTTGTGCTCGCGAAGCGTGGAGAACAAAGTGAAAGAATTGTAACACGGTATTTTCTTCTCATCGTTTACATTCATCTCAGTTAACGAGTCTTATCGTACTCTCTATCTTTCCCTTTAATAATGACTGTGAAAACGAACCTACACAGGGGAGAAACATCTTCTAATTCCGGTCGAACATTCCGTAGGACTTTCGTTCACGATGAATCTGCTGTTCGAGAAGCGCATCGTTAGTTTTTCTCAATGGCACGCGACGGAATTAGATTTTTGGTTCAAGGCGGTTCCATAAATAATCTATTACATTTACGTCTGGTAATTGCGGAGGAGGATTTAAGCGTTCTGGAAGATTACATTCGCGGTACTGCATGCATCGATGCCAAACTCACTTTGGAGGTCAGCCGGTACTCATCCTTGGACTTCATTTTAATTTTCGAATGATTAATCGCGCATTGTCGTCATTTGCAGTCAACTGCGCGACTTGACCGCTTTAGAAACTGTTTTGTGTCGTTGATAAGCGCTCGATGACTGACACTACGAGTTGGTGCTCTCTTATTTGGAAAACGTGTACAGGAACGTATTGCTCCATCGAATGCATGCCGGCCATTTATCGATTACAATAACTTCTAATTAGTATTTCGAACAGGAAGCGTTACAAACCTCCGACAATCGACGCTTTTGTCGAAAGAATGAATAAAAATGACTCATAGAATTTTGTGAAATAGTGTATAAAGAATAGGATATCGGTTATGTCAGCTATGTCGAAAGAGTTACGGTAACACAGAATGCATTATGACACGGAAACAAAGTCGTACAGGACTCTTACTTTTGTATGAACTTGTGCCGCTTTTAACCGTTTAAGAATGGGCGTGGGGAACGAGCCACGCTATACTTTACCGTTACGGAGATAATTGTATATAACTTTGAAACAATAAAATAGGATGAGAAAGGCTTGGATCGAGTTTAAAATAGTCGTTTCTGGATTCTGCATTCCGATCCGCGTGTGTCCTGTATTTAGCGACATGGTAAAATTCACGATGGAACACAACGACGGTACTTTGTTGAGCGAATCACACGAATAATTAACACTACGCACGGTGCATGTAAATCGAAAGTAACGAAGGTCGTTTTTCCATATAGGAAATGAATACTATCAATGCATACTAAGCGTATCGACGATCGAAATTATTGCTAACGAGTACATGGAGATATTGCAGTTATAAACGGTTGCGTTGATTCATCTCGTAATTGCATGTGACTGTAACACGTGATGGTTCATCTGAAACGGAATACCTGAATAATTTGCTATTTTTCAAAGGCACTATATACGTGTCGCTTTTATTATTGAGACTATTCTTAGATGATTACGTTATCGTCGATTTTGTTTACGTCTGAAACAGTTTCACTCGAATCGATATAAGAACTTTGACATTATACGAAATGTTTCAAGTATTACTACTTTTTTAGGGGATAGATTCCCGCAACCGGTTCGAAACTCGATAATTTCAACACCCTAAAAATGGTAAAAAAAAAGGTCTATGGAATTCCGTTGTTAACGATAAAGGACATTTTGGAAGTTTCCATTTTCAGTAGTTGCTATATTTCCATCGATTTTTCCGTGCAAGCACGGATTAGCTCGTGACAACAATGTGTTAAGGGTAAACGAAACGAGGTAACACGAGTAAGTAGAATGTGGACGGCGAGCAATTTTTGATCAGACGCGAGCTTTGCGATGGCTGACTAATACGTCTGACCCAGTACGGCTCGCGATTCGTTTCTAAGACTGGATTCCCCACCTTATAAGCCTCGGAGATATAGTACATATACCTTAAATACGATAAGTATACGTTGACTTAATACTTTACGAAGTAATCAAAGACAGAGGAATTCCCTTTCAGTCTATACTATAGATTCGATAGTATTGTTTTCAATAGCTTTCGTGTCAACGACCTTTACGTCAGATCTATTTAGCCACGACTGCGTTTTCAATTAGGATGTCACATCCGAAGCAGGAGCTGGCTCCTTTGATTTCCTAAGACAAGCTGTGGGATCTGTTCGCAATATAGCCGTGAAGTGGTGATTAGCTTACGTTTGAGAGCTAGTTTCTGACGGATTACATCGGCTACCAGATTCTACCTGCGCACTCTAATTGACCTATGTCCTGCTGTGATATATTGAATAATCCCAGAGCTTAGGTGGCATTCCTTGCATTTCTCATCATAGAAGTATTCCGACATGTTTATGGTCGAGGTTGTTGCATTATTTCTGTCGGAGTTCCTTTCAAAAGACGATGTCTACCCATTGTTATCCTTTTAACGCTGATACCATTCTCTACTAAAAGATTGCGATTTCTGCCAGCTGAGATTGATGTGGCTTGCATTCCCCTCTTTTCATGGATAAAAGTTCCTAGCGTCTTCCCTTGTTCCTCCTGAACGTAAATCGCGTATCAACCAGTTTTCTCTTTCTTCGTCCCTTGACAGGGTCATCCGCTCTAACGATGACTTTGGGTGGTGGTTAGTCGTAGGCTCAAGACCGGATCGAATCGTTTCGAGTCTGTGACGTCAGACGTCGATCGAATACTATTCAATACCAAGTCTTGAAAGTCATGGCCGGTATCGAGAGTCTTGAATGTAGGTATTGAAGTCTCGATCGGTCTTTACGGTCTTTATCGATCTTCTTGTGAATCTATACGCGACTAACACATTTTGTAAATGTCCCCATTTATTTATCAATGCGAAACGTGCTAGATTTATCGAGAGTTTGAAGCTCCATCAGGATTTTAAGACTTAGCAAGATCTTAAATACCAATCAAAACTTTCGAATTCGATCGAGGGTTTAAGACGGACCAAGACTTCCGAGATCGGTCAAGATTACGCGACCTATCGAAAGTTTCGACACCTCTGCTATCGAATAATGTCCAGATCGATTCGAATCCTGGCAGTCTCGAAAGTTTCGAATTTCTCGCAAGACGCATATTCGAACGTCCATGGCCAGTAGTGGTAGTCGCGCGTTATTTCATCCTCCAACGCCGTTGGAGATTCTTCGGATCAGTTGAGGTCAAGCCGATTACTCTAAAAGAGTACGTGAGTTAAGAACAGCACAGTTGTGGATAGCCTTGGCAAGGTTCTGCGACGCAAACTATCTTCTGCCGATCTGATTGAGCCACATACTCGTCGATCGAGACATTTCTTATGCATGCGCGTTGAATAATCTTCGCCTGCATCATCATCTGTTATTCCTATTCCTCGTAGACAGGAATTTCAACTTGAACTAGTTTAAGGAATCAGTTTAAGCTCGTTAGTGCATATATAGAAACTTGACGATGCCTGGCGGGGATACAGTGGTTGAATGTTGCCTTGACGATAAACTTAAAATTATCATGATTTTAAAATGTTTGCTACCCGATGGTTCACGATGGACTCTCGTTTCAGGTTTCAGTTTTATGCCGAAACGAGGGAAACGCTGACAAAAGTGGCTGGAGCTTCGATCCAAATACACAGTATCACATTCAGACGGATGAGGGTCCCGAAAGGCACTTCCGTTTCCAGACGCTAAACGGACAATACAGAAAAGAGAAGAGGCTAGTGGATGGCACAGTTATCGGAACGGAGGGCTGGCTAGATCCTCTCGGATACCTGCGTCTTAAGGACTACGTAGCCGATAGCAACGGATTTCGAATAGTAAGGTAAAGAAACCGATCAACTGCTATTGACTAACGAGTCTACAACCACTATCATATGTTGGAATTAGATCGAAAATGGTGTACGTGGGTAAAGACAGGCCTATCTATGATGCCATGGCGGAGGCGAAGAGGGTACCTGCTCAGAATGGACTCATCGTGGATCCACCACGACCACCAAATCCTTTCAGGTATCGCGTCAAACTAAAAAGACGCTAATACTCCATACATACTTCTAAAATTAGATACATCTGAGAAGTCAATCTCAGCTTAGCATTTGCCGGTAGATACCAGAAAAACAGGCCTCGAGTGCAAAGGGTTAATATCACCTAGATTTTGATGACGTACAAGAACTCGTATTAATAATTCAATGTTTCCGTTGCAGACAATGGAAAGGAAACAATGTGGCTCCTCTGCTTGGGAACGACATAAACTCTAACTATTACGTCAGTACCACTGCCAGTCCCAGAGTGGACGTCACCCCTATATCTAGTTCGAACAATGATTACTACAGCCCAAATCAAAGAAGATTTTCTCCTGGCCAACGAAATTATTACAACGCTCTACAACGACCTCGAGACGGGGCTGGCGCTCCTCCTTACGATCACTCGAACAAGAATCTTCGACTATCGACACCAGTTTCTCAAAGTGGCTCAGCGGATTACCCTCCATACGATGGAACCCACACTGTCGCCAACGGATTCCAGTATTACCTGAAGAGGCAGTACCACGAGGAGGAACAGGATGCGACAGGAGACAACGTTGGCTCCTTCGGTTACATCGATCCATTCGGCATCAGAAGAGTAATTTATTACAAGACGGATCAAAACAACGGTTTCGTTCATCAGAAAAATAATAAATACGTTGGTTTCGGGGCGACCCCTTACGACCCCTCGTCGACTGGTTTATACAGACAGAGATCGAGAAGATATTCAAAGTCATAAGCTTGTTAAAATTTGTTTTACTCGTAGTTGTTAGCAGTAGGTGCCATGTTTGACTATTTTATTATTTATAAGGTTCGGTAATATTTAAAATTTCGCAAATCTAAATAAATACGCGAGCTTTGCGCGAGTAACGCGCACTGTAATCCTATCAAAATAAATTAAGGAACAACGACGGACGGTTAACGAGTCCACCGAATGGGAAGCATGAACGACGATCCATTTTAGTGTAATTGGACGAAGCTTTTTATCGCTATGTTTATTATATTAACGAAACGTATTTTTACACTGTTAAATATATTGCACGCGTAGGTATGTATACTTTATAAGGAAAAGTATTTCATAAATTAAGTGTTGTAATTCTACACACATTTTATACACAATACGTCCATGGTCTATTTCTGTAATAGTCGTAATGTAAGTAATCCCATTTTAAAGTGCTATAGGGTACCACCTGGAATATTTCCGTTGTGTTTAATAGTACAAAAGACTCTGTGAGGAAGAAATTATTCGCTTCAAAGACACGAATATTACGAATAAATATACTTATGTTTAATCGTTGTAGCTGGAAATTTCTCTATAACAACAGTTCTATGATTACTCTATCACGCTAGACCTTCCACAGACGTTCTGAACGATTTTTGCATAATTGCTTTAAGAGCAGACCGTCATCCGAAGAAGTCAAGGATGAAACACGTAAATTAGGTCAGCTGTACTCGCTATGGCGTTCAGACCTTTAGGTGCGTTCATCGCAAATCTGTGATTTCAAAATGTAATCAAGAGTATGATCGTATAAGCTGCGGAAATACAAAAAAAAAAAAGTTGCGAAAATTATCCTTTCTTCAAGTGCTTGAAATAATCCCTCGCCGCGCACTTGACTTTGCTATTTAAAATTCTGCTCTAATATTTTACTCTCGTGACACGTCACTCGGCCCTCGCATCTGTGCATATGCAATACACACGCCCACACTTATGCATGCTCAAAGTCGCCGCTTAAGTACGTACAATGACGCATACACGCATTCCTCTATACCTTATTTCCTAATACCGAAGTGGCGCTTTGTTTCGCGGATGGCCTTTCATTCGTAAGTTAACAATACAATTTTTAATTTCGAAATGGCAATCAATTTCTTAGACTATGTTTCATTGAGTCGCTCACTGCACACATCAATTAACTCCACTTTTTGAAAAATCTTAAATTTTAAGTATCAAAGCATTTGGTATAGCCATAACTTTTTATATTTCATCGCATTTCTCAACATTTTGTTTTATGGAGTTAATCGACTTGTGTAATAATCGGCTCAAATGTAAGTAGAAGTTGCAGCAATGGTGTTAATAGTCGGTGTATGAACAGAAACCAGTGTTTCCACTAAGGGTCAGAAATGGAACAAATCTACTCCCACGTGGACCGTTATGTAGAACTGTATCCAGAGCATGCTTTCAGGTATCTTCTCTTTTTTAGATCCGGGTCGCGTGAGAGTACTGACCTTACTCAGGTGGGCAGACTGGAAGATAAGCTATGTTACCTAATTAGGAAACTAAAGCGGTTTGGACGTCGAGCAAAGGTAATCCCTTCGTGGCCTGATGAGTTCAGCTATCCCTTGGTTCCTAATTGGATTCTTCATTGATAATGAGCTAAAGGTACCGATATTCGACATTGCACCGATAGTTGACTTTGTCAAGGAATTCTTGAATCGTTCAACTTTGGTAACCGCGAACGTTTAAATCCATTGATACTGTATTTTTATTTCGTTTTAAAAAATAGAGGGAACTCGAGCATCGATTACATATTTTCTTCGTCCGAATAAAATACCTTCGCTGGATGGATATTATTTCGCGATTAAAAAAGTTTTGAAAATCCGGATCTAGACATCGATCGTTGATAAATAAATCTTCCTCTGACTAGAAGTTTCGCCTGTCCTCCGAAGCGCCACGGTCAGAACAGTCGAGACATTTACCAACTGTCGAGAAATCTTAACGCTCATGCGCACACGGAGCATCACAGTATACCTGAGAAATAGTTGCCTTCGTAATACTGTGCAATCTATAGTGCACATCACTTCAATACAGTTGTTGCATAAACGAAACAAGTCCCACGAGTTAGATTTCAGTCAGTTAGATTTCATACAATGTATAATACAAATGAAGACAACTGTAGTGTTGTCGAATAAATTTTCCGTCATCCCGCTACGCATTCAAAAATTCAAATATTTCAAATTCAAATATTCTATCGAATTATTGCAAATTATATACTAAACATTGTTTTTTTCATTCTGGTATGCAAGATAAATTCAACGCGAATGTACCTCTTTCGAAGTTTAACAAGCAACACAGGATGAACTTGTTTTTTATTGCAAAACATGTTAAAAATATTCTTCATTGACTTGGAGGTAATTAAAAGAAAACGAAATTGTGCCATCGGTGTTACGCACCACATCGTAAAACTGATATGAAGACATAAGCACCACGTACATATGTACAAATATGTGCATGCATCTTATGTAATGTCATTAGGCATCGTGCAAGTTTTTCTCACCGTTTCATTACATTCGTTTGTGTGTGCTCTACAGACCATCGACTTACAGTAATGATAATGCGCATCCAAAGATGGAAAGTGTTATCATATTACAATTTACGGTGAGAGCGTTCAGAAATCGATGCAAACCACGGGCTGAAACTCTTCCAGAAATAACCGATTCGAAATGTTACATAAGGGTTCTTGACGAAATGGTTACGAGGGACCGAAGGAATCTCGGTTATGGTCACAAAAGGTTCTCCTACACATCGGTTCGCTGTTATGAACGTCGATTGTAGATGCCACCATCTTGAATATCTTTCAGTTACCTGGAAATAATAGAAATTTATCAATAAAATATCATTGGAAATATTGATAATATTATAAAAAAGTTAATATCTGTTTCACATGGTATCATCATGACAAAAAGGGTATTATTTGGATGCAATTGCGAAACATTTTTCAATCGGTTTAGTAGTATTGTTACATCCCTACAAAAAGGGATGAAAAGAAGCGATCGTTTATGTCATAGAAATTCAATGTGTAATACAGTGTATAGATGTAGATATTTGTAACAAACTTCGCGGAATATCTTTGGAGGTCCATCAATCGTTGGGTGGGGATAAAGTGAGAGTCAGTATAAAAGGAGAATTCTCCACTTTCATGGGGTCAGACACGATTGGATTCAATTGCTATCTCCTTCTTTTGTACGACTGTTTCCATTATCGAGATGAAGTGTATCGTAAGTAATTGTTGTGTTTTTTCATATATATATATCTACTCTTATTTGTTGTAGTCGTCCCATTCATATTTTTATGTTATTCGTTATACAATGCTTTTCGCCATCTCAGTTCTCGTAAAAGATTTGTTCGGTACATTATTTCGCGCGTGCAATATCGAGTTAACGTTTTTATATTGAATTTTATAGAGATTCGTTGCGAAAATGAAACGAGACTTAATTACTGTAAAATTATTTTGGCTTCGTAAGTGAATATTTTTAAATAATTGTGGTTAGAGAGATTTAAAGTAAAATTTCTCTTATACTACTTTCTGTTTTACTTAATTTCTTACCTATGCAGTGAACGATAATTAAACGAAATGGTGAGTAAACCGAAAGCAGTGAAAAATAATCAAGATAATTGGAATTGTAAATTGTAAGCAATAGAGTTGCTTACGATTGAAATAAATAGTATAAAAGTGTTTGAGAGTATACACGTCGATAGTGGGTAACATGATTTTGCACTGAATCCTAAAGCTTTTAGAATGCTAAAGGCACTAACACATTTACATATTAGATGTATCCAATATTTTATGCACAGTTGAAGTAACATTGCATGCTCACATATTTATGCATAATATATTCTTAAATCTGTGGTAGTTACATACGATGAAAAAATACATAGGAATGATATGATAATATGAAAGACGATAAAAATGTAATAATATTTCTCGATGGTATAAGTCAAAACAAAAGGACTGCACCTCAAATAATTTTTTGCTATAAATCTCTGCAGTTACACCATTGTATATCCTTGAAAACGAAAGCTTTTTGTCGATAATCGGAGCGGAAATCGAATTCAGATTGCAAAACAGGGATGGCTCGTAAACAATTATAATATTACAACATAGGTGGCACGAAGTAAAACAAGGCAAAGTAAATCAACGAGTTCGCAAACTCGTCGTAGGTCAGGAGTAAATGACCCGCGCTGGCATTTGCTTCTTACTTTCACTCATCTCACTGACTCCGTATCGAAGGATGCTACGGTGAAGAAGCGGTAGATAAATCTTCTATCGCATCGCATTAAAATTCGGTCTCTCCCCACAGGAATTTATCCATTCAATTCTCCGGCAGCTTGCATCACCCGACCACCTTTGAATTAAATGTTTCTTCTAAGCAGACGTTTTATTGTGGTAGATCCTGGCTATAGTCTTGGGATTAGCAGCGGCACAAGACTCGAATTACCATGGTCGTAACAGTTACCACGATAATGATAAGCCAAATCCTCCGAGCGACGAAAGGAAACCCCTGATTACAACACCGATTCCGATTTTACACTGGAACAAACAACAGGAACACGATGGAACGTACAAGACAAGGTATAATTTCTTGACTAATTATTATTAGTTCACTATACAATATTATAATAATAGCTGGACGCACTCTCATTTGCATTGCATTTAATTTTTACGTCGGTATTCTTTAATTTTACCACGTATTTCGCGAAGAAGATTGAAAGCAATCTGGAACAGTTAATTTCTTCACAGTTAATTAATCTCGTTACAAGTGACACGATTGAAGTGGATGCTACGAGAATTATTTTGTAATTAGTAATAAATAGTTTGTGCAATTAGAACGTAATACATTCATTTCCGAAGTACGAAAGAAAATCCCTCGAGGTTTCTTTTGCGATCTTCGCATGAATTGATTTTATTGGGTTCCCAGTCAGGACACATTTATGTAATGGAGCAGCGTTTCCCAAAATGAGATCTGCCAGTAAATTGGCGGAGGCCTGCAAAAGAAAACATTTTATACAGTAGAATAAAAAAATTCTTTTCTAGCATAAGTTTATTCTGTGTAATCACTAATAAAGTTTACCTGGACGTACGATGTCCCCTCGGAAGAGACATTCGAGTGCAAAAAGTTAAATGCGTTCATTAGAAAATTTCAATCTAGGTGAAATAGAACGCCCTTACAAAGTCCACCGATCCTACGAGCTCTAGCGTCTAGCTGGGCTGCCAATCAGCAATCCGCGAAAAGGTTAAAGTAAAGGGAAAAAATCCACCGTGAAGGTGTTAATTGGGATGCCCTACCGTGGTTTCATCTGAATAAATACCGCCACAAATCTGATATGAATAAATTATTCGTAGTTACGAAACGGGAAATAACATTATCGCCGAGGAGAGTGGTTACATCAAGAAGGTAGGCGAAGGCGAGGAACAAGGAGAAGCTTTGGTCCAACAAGGAAGCTACTCATACATGAGTCCCGATGGCCAGCTGATCAGCATTCATTACACAGCTGACGAGACTGGCTTTCACGCGACCGGTGATCACATTCCCACGCCACCGCCAGTCAGTGAGGAGATTCAGAAAGGCCTCGACCTCATCTATGCCGGCATTCGTCAGCAGGAGGTACGTCCCACGACTTTTTCTTTCTCTTCATTCCGCGATTCTTCCTTTCTCCTGCTGCGTTTCCTTCTACGTACGTGCCCTTTTCGCGTCCTCTTCCTCTTTGGCGCGTTCGCTACCACTTGCTTGGAACACCGTTTGCTACAAACGTTCGTAGTACCGTCGAGACGATTGACCTTAAGTAACTATGTAAACCTACCAACCAATCTTAATTCAATTTGTCGGCGAAGTGTTTGAAGAAAGATACGATACTAAAAGATCTCGCAGAAATCTCGTGTCCGTGTCAACGTTTACATGAAACCAGCTTGGTGTTTAACGAGTTAAATAAGTCAACTAAATATTCTCAGCGAGTATGATACACAGTTCTTATTTTATGTTCTCGTATGTACATAAAGTAGAAACCCATGTCGCGCATATGTACGGGATAGCAAACGTGTCAACTATTCAGTCCTCGCTTTCTTTTCCTTTATTTTCTTGCAAATACACACTGTTTTCTCTTGCAATCTTTCTTTTTTTAAGCGTGTGATTTCTAGTCGAAACCATTAACTTTCGATTAATTCTATGTTGACCGTTTGTGGACGATATGACGTGTTCGTAATGGTGTAAAATGAAAACTAAATTAAATTGCTTCCTTACTTTGTTGCTCGTGGTGGTAAAATTAGATACGCGAGATTTAGAAAGGTGTCTAATACTGTCTCGATGATATCTAGGAGTAAAAGTAATCGCAGAGATAACGTACTCTTGGAGGAATAACTTTGTACGATAATGCGGATTTTCTTTGGTAAATTACACTAATCATGTTCAAATGAAATCGTGATCGTGTTCCAGGAGGCAGACGCACGCGAAGCAGCGCAAAAAACACCCCAGCAGCCTTTCAATCAGCAAGTCGATCGACAAAACAACAATTACGAGAGAAAGTTCCGGAAATGAGGTGTACGAGAAATGAGAATCTTGTTGACAGACGTTCGATGTGTATTATCTTTTGAGAATTAATAATGAAGTCGTTAAATTAAGAGTAGTATAATGGAATAAATTTATATATATTTAATTTTCATTATATACAGTTGTAAATTATGTGGCATGTTAATTCCCCTTCTAACGATAACGATTCCTCTTCGTTTATGAGAAGAATTTAATTTCAAGTGGTCTTAGAATAATAGTTGATTAGGACCTTCGAAATAAGTCGCGAGAGTTGAAGGAAGATAGAAAATCAGGAAGACAAACCTGTTTCGTCGAGTTGCAACGTCGTGGAAGATGATTCATTAACATGTGCATTGTGGGACCAATGTACCAGGTGGAATGTAACTGAAAAAGAAAAGTTATTAGCGTTTACGTTCCCTCGACATGTAACGATGTTATCGGTAAAAACAATAAATTTGAACAAAACCTGTTGTTGTACGTCGTATTATCCTCCATTGGAGTCACGGGAGGATAGTAAGAGGGCCTGTCGCTCCATGGTTTTTCCACTGGACTTGCAACATCTACCGGCTGATAGCTCAGTTGCATGGTAGTTTCCGCTAACATTGGAACGCTTGGTGAACTGTATCTGCGTACTGGAGCGTACGATTGAACGGGTGTCAACGATTTGCAATTGGGTATATAAGACAGCCTGTGAGTCGTGCAACCTGTAATTAATAAAAATAAACAAACTACACGATTCTCCATTTTATCGTAACATACAATCCATGCAGGCATTCGCAGTGATAAGGTTGTTTTCGGGACGAATCTCCTGTTCTACTGGTATATTCTTCCACGTGTAATCGTGTTTTTGAGTAGTCACCTCCTGCATAGGTCCTCCTCCCAACATTTGCTTGCTACATGGTGTAATCGCTGTTTCTGGTTTCACGCACCAATTTCCCAAGAAACTCATCTGAGATAAATATTAGGTTGATGCAAATAGAATTGCGGGTTTCACATTGTCACGTTATCGTTTAAAATTTTAATAAATTTTTAAATAAATATTGACATTGTATATAATCATTTTGAATTTGTTCTTTATTTTGATTACAAATATTATATGATTATATACAATGCCAATAGTTATTTAACAATTTATTAAAATTTCAAACAGTAAAGTTTGACAACGCGAATTTACTCTCTGGTTATATTTTTTGTTTCTTACTCGATTAACGGTATCATAAGCTGCAGGACAAGGCGAAAAGAGGATGTTGTTAGGTTGTCGAATGGGATCTCGCTTGCCGCCTTCGGAGCCGAAGTAGCTGAGTCGATAAGTGGTGTTATTATCAGAACAGCAGCCAGCGTTTAATAAATTATCATTTTCCTGATTTCTAATGGGTTGACGTATCTCCTCGCAATGTGGCCAATAGCTCAATTTGTAAGTTGTGCAGCCGTCCAGTGGCTCCACGGGTGGTATGTATTCTCTCTTTGTGTACCACGGCTGTTCAGCCTAGAAAACATGATGAACTACCTAAATAATCGCTCGGTACTTTAACGATTCATCGAAATTACCTTCGTAGCTCCATCATTCGGCCAGTAACTAAGCCTGTAAGTCGTGCAGTCGTCCATTGGAATGTCTGGTCTAGCATATTTCCTTATAGGGGCATAAGATGTAGCAGGCAAGTGACAAGCAGATGGATAGTAACTCAATCTATATGTGGTATCGTCTACAAAATTGACAATATATTAGTCGAGAATTATCTTCTCTTCTTTTATCTCTTCTCACCAGCTAATCGCGCTGCTGGACAGTACAAGTTTTGCTGCGCTTTGAAAGCTTGAACTGGTTCCATGGATTTCCACGTATAGTCATGCTTTTGAGTAGTAACGTCTTGTATAGGACCTCTGCCGAGCCATTGTTTCGAACACGGCGTGATAGGTTGCTCGGGTGTGATGCACCAATTACCAAAGTAACTGTCCTGAAACAAACGGACGTTATCCGTTCCTTGAAAAGGTAATCAAGCCTTAGAAATTGAAAAATGAATCATCTTCAACCTTATATTCCTAGGATATAAATTACTGTCACCACCTTATACGTTGTTTTGTCAGATATTTCACCCTCGCCAGTAGTCAACCAATTTTGTAGTCGAATAGGTTCCACGGTTGAGGTAGGGCATTCCCAATACGAGAGTTGGTATGTTGTGTTCTTATCCATCGGTATATTCGATTTCCAGTAGTACTGAAATGACATTTATTGAGAAATTCAAGTACTCTTTATATACATGTTGTACATGATGTCCTTACTTACACGAATGGGAGCAAAAGACTTTGGTACCTTTGGTTGCACATATTTCTGAAAAAACCAGTCATAGTAACGATATTGTGCAACGTACTCGTAGACAATGGGAGATACTCACAAGGCATGGACTTTGAGGTGTGCAACAACAACAACAATTGCAACTTTCATCGTGATCTAACTGAAAAACACGGAATTATTCTACTTGCAATGAAGCTATAAATATTTAAATATTATTCAACTTACTCGAAGTTTGTTTTTCGCTTCGATAACAGACTGTGGTTGTGTACGCGCAGGTCTACAATATATAATAACAAAGCATAGATTTATTGGTGTAAAAGAATTTAAAAAAAAAAAAATAGAAATTAGAGGTTAGAAATAATGAAAATTGTAATTTATATTACTGCGGGAGCTCACGGATCAAAAGTACAAATCTGCATGATGGTACCAGTTCTTTGCAAGCGAAATGATATAATTTCACAAAATTACAGAGTGAAATTTAAACTAACATTATTAGCCATAAAAATCTGTAAATACTATCAAAAGTAAATTAACAAAAACATCATATTTGTCACGAAGCAACTTCATCAAGATTTATATGGTACCACAGAAGGCTATGGAATAGTAATTTCAATTCGAGAATACTAGAATTTAATTTTTTGCCTATTTCGATGGATGTATTTATTTATACAATTTATGTGGTTAATGTTTCATACTATTATCAGCTAGAAAATGTTGCAATTAATATCGCTGCACTCTGCGAAGAAATCAAGTCTTGAACATTGCTGTTTACGGTTGCAGATAGCTACTATTTGATTCATTTGGCGCGCGTCGTATGCCATAATTAGCAGTGACACTATCGTAACTAGAGTTGGGCCAGGACGCCAGCCTCTGTTAAATTCCAGCAGAATAACCGGATTGTTCGTTATGCGTAATTGTTCTCGTAAAATTAACGAGAAACTTACATGTCCTTGTCAGACAATGAGAAACTATATTCGTACATGAAAGTACATACGTGTAATAGTTATAATTAATACAATTAATTCAAAGTAAAATGCGTTAACTTTGGAACATTCGATTCCAATGATTGTACACTTATTGTATATTCTATTATAAAAACTTTTAAATAATTTTCTGATTCGATCACGGTATTATTTATTTGGACAGAAGCAACATTTGAAAGTTTGAATTTGAAAGTTCAAAAATAGATGGCGCGATCAATATCAATATATCAACGTTGTGGCTAAATTTTGTTAAATAATTGGACATATAGACACTTTTGCAATGTTTAAATTTAACGTACATTAATTTAATTTATTTATAATTTATAATTTATATAAAATTTATATTTTCTTAGCCATGAACAGGATGCTATAAAGGGACCAGTACTGCCACCTGCAGGAGGACGCCGAAGGCGTAGCAATTCGTGTTCCAAGATTCAAGATGGACAAACGTGACTCTCTCCGTCTTCGAGTGAACATAATACCAATTTTGACGCAGATACACCTCCGATGAAACGATTTAAGGGATCCAGATTGGATTAAGGTATAATAAATCTGAAAAGTATTACATTGAAATTTCAACAGCTGAGTTGATCGTAAACGTAATATAGGGTGTCCCAAAAATGTTGGAGGTCCTTGAAAGGGGTGGTTCGGGAGGTGATTTGAAACAACTTTTTCCTTTGCAAAAATGTCGGATGGGGCTTCGTTAAGTAGATATTAATAAAAAAACCCGACCAATCAGAGCGCGCGGATACCGTTGGAGCGGCCGCGGTAGCGAAGGCTACGCGCTGAACGGCCGCGTCAATATCCTTCGATGCACGTCGAGTCACTTGTTCGCGTACGAGAGCGGCTACCTAGCGCGTAGCCATCGCTATCGCGGCCGCTCCAACAGTATACGCGCGCTCTGATTGGTCAGTGTTTTCCGTTAATATCTCCTTAACGAAGCCTCGGATAACGATTTCGCTAAGGAAAAAGTTGTTTCAAATTACCCCCTGAACCACCCTTTTCAAGGATCCCCAACATTTTTGGGACTCCCTGTATAAGAGAATCACGAAATTTCAGAAATCGACATTCATTTTGTCAAATGCATATGTAGTTCAAGCGTGTACGACAGTTTTAAAGTTTCATGATAATCCAAATTATGTGTATACGTGTTTATTAAAGTTGAAAACAATTCATCGAAAGATAGACTAATACTTTCGGCACCTGTTTCCACAGACTTTCCACAGAATTCAGTGCTTAATACTGCGTCCATGGACCTTCACTTTTCTCATCAATTTCGATTATAACATTCACGATGTCCTGGTGAATTAGCATCGTCGAGATCATTGCTTTCTCCGATGAGTCCCTCCGATTGCTAGATTTAGTTATAATTTTTATTGTTAGTAGCGTTGCAATCTTACCCCGTTCTGAGTCGATAACGTTGAATACGACACTCGAATGGTAACAAACACTGCATTCTGAGCATGAAGTAGTTACCATGCATGGCAATGTGCGATTTCAAGTCGTTTCTAGACAAACGATATAGATTTCTCCACCGTCGATTAGGATAGTTAATCATTTATCATTTCTTAAATCCTCCGTACGATTGTCTTGCTAATGTATGCAATTTAACAATACTCAGCCAAGAGATAAGACGTTCCGTAAAGTAAATATACAATTTTAATTAAACTAGCTGTTGCAATTAGACCCACTGTCTCGATAGAAGACCGTACGATTTCTTCTAATTGTTATCAAATAGAGTGCAGAAGCAATTAAGTTAAGGGAGCGGTGCTAGCGAATAGAATGTCAACATTTTGCAAAATCGATTTCAAGAAACTACTTGTTATCTGGGTTGGAAATCGCTTAAACGCTTTCATTAACAAATGTTCTTGAAGTTTGTTCCGTAGATTGGGGCATTAAAATTAACTGCGTGAAAGCGAAGTTTCCAATTGAAATTTCTTTTAATAAATTCTAACCGGGTTTAATTAAAACATGGGCTACTTTTTCTCAACGCTGAATTCGTTCGAAATTCTGGAAAATGGAGGACTGTTCAAACGATTAATTACGTCTAAGGCAAGGTTTGCTGAGTCAGCCTTACGGAGTCCACCATAGGCACCTGGACGTAACGTCGATTCTTTTTCTTACATTTATGTGCCTGAGAGCTCCATGAAGTACCAAATGCAACATTTTTTGTCTATATTCCTTGATAGATTCTCACCATAAAGATTTATAGGTACAAAATACAGTTACGATCTTGGCAAGTCTTTCTTATGATTACGATATGTTTGATATTAAAATATTGCAAATAAGTATAAAGTAGTTAAATGAATGAGATGCAGGCGGTATGTATTACCGAAAATGGTTTGAGGTTACACACATACGTCTGACATAAGTTTCACGTTTGTACGAGCGTTCCCCAGAGGCGAAGAAAGCACGGAAAACAGTACGAAGCTCTACAAATTCCTCGCTGCTTCCTGAAATAATCGTCACCCGTTTATTACCGCAAAGTTGTCAGGGTACAAATTCCCCTCGGATGGGTTCACTGTCGCCTCGGAACTCCAAATGCATAGCGTCACGTGAGAAAATTAGGCAAAGAAGATTGTACACAGGGAAATTAGATAGTCGTAGAACAAGAAACGTAAGAGAACTCGTTAACGAGTCGACAAGAACGTATTTCACCGTAGTTTTAAATGCTATGCGTATATTAACGGAATAGATTCCCTATTTCAATATAAATTTCTTTACCCATTTTGAAAAAAATTCGTTGGCTTGTTTTAATAAAATTTTGTTTGAAATTGACGAACAATTTTCAATAGTTACACTGCTCGTGTACGTGTCCAATCGACGACGAACAATTATGTGAAGTTTCGACGAACTTTCAAAAATATGAATACCGTTAAATTGGAAGGGAACAAATTCAAATATATTTTCTAAGCAACGATAAATGGAGCAATTCTGCACGTACTTCGATAGGGATTAGCTTACTTGTTTCAATCACTGTTCGTATTTGCTTCAACGTCTGCGATGGAGCGGAAGTCGCGTTGAAACGAGGCGAAACTGAAAGGTGGAGGTTGACAAAATGCGTGGAACTTTTCGCAAAAATTTTGTAATGAATGCGGGTATATAAATATTACCTTCCCGTGCATATTTCCGTCCTTCCGCGTGCATATTTCACTTTCAAAAGCTTTTCACCGCGACGATCTGTTTCACGAATGTTTGCGAACGCGTAATAAGTAAAATCCGGATTTCGTTGGTTTTGAATTGAAACGGAAAATTTGTCTCGCGTTTCGTTGCACTCATCAGTGAACCATTCATTTCATCCGTGCCATTAATTAATTTTTGCATGCACCGAAAACTAGAAGAGCATAAAGCTGTGAAAAAAGTTCTTACGGATATTCGTTAATTTTATTTGACGTTACTTCTTAAATAAATCCCATTCACGTTCATCTGAAAATGTTAGTTACAGACGAACAAAATACTTCTCGTACATACGAGAACCACGAGTTTATTTATAGATTTTTAATTCACAAAAGGTCATTTTCATACGAAACTCTACAATCCTCCGTGCAAGCTTGAATACACTCCATGTAATGAATACCTTATCTAGTTAATACGCGATGTAAATGTCCCTATAAAATGAGTCAAGGCCAGACCTACGGATTCCAATTTCATTATTGTGGTTGGCGGAGTTTACAAAGGAGCCTTAATGAATATTAAATTTCAACCATGTTTTTTCATGCTACGCTAGTTTCTGTGCCGTTTTAATTGCAACCACAGTATTCGAATTAAAAGTTTCAACTTACGAATCTTATGAAATAAATACGCTACATTCGTACAAACTCCGAATTAGGAAACACATTTTCACCCCTCTCTAGGGATGACTTGAAAATTTGTTGTTCGTTCAGCTCTCCTCTTGGAATGTTTCTCAACTCGATTCCTATAAAGTAGTCTCTAGGTGCGTCGAAAAATATATATTTTCTAACGTTTTTATCGTGTATTAGTCATTTCTCCCAACAACTCTTTTCACAGCCTTATTCACTTCTAGTACTTTCGGTACTTTTGCAAAAGGACTTGAAATAATTTACCTTGTAACGCGGGTAGCTTGTGCAAGTATGCACGATCGGATGCATCCTCCAAAATTATGTACTAGAGATCGGTGCCCATCGAATGGAGGTTTTGCTGCATCCATGGTTAAAGGTCAAGCGCGCATTTCATATCCAGAGCTTGGCCTCGATGCCACGTGTGAGGTTTTCCTCGATCGCACCCTCGCAACTTGAGTACACCCTTTCCTCTCGACGTAGGCCAAAAGTCCTCCGCTAAATCGTCGCCGTCTGCTCGCGGGCACAAAGAAATCTTATGCATATGGCTGAATAATCCCCGAGCAGAATGTAATGGCTGCAGTCCTTCGAGGAACTAGGACGACCAATATTAAATTCTCGCGTCGCGGTAAGAAGTCCGATATCATCCCCGACGGATGGAGCCTTTTTCGCGGAAGCGTCCTCGCAAATATTGACACGGTGTTTGCTCCTCGTGTTTCCTGCTTTCACGGACACTGTTCTACTTTAACGAATTCTTTCTGTCATGAAAAACTTCATCGTCCCTCGCTCGTCCACTCTGCCACATCGTTTCCCTTCGTCCGACCTTACCTTTTCCATTTTTCCGCTCGTAATCGATAGAAGAACGACCTTTTAGCTGGGAGCTGACGTTAAATCTTTTTTTGCAACTTCATCGATTCGGTGCGAATGGATAAGGGAGCAGAGACTTGTTAGCTGACTGATTCAAGTGGACAAAAGCTGCACAATCCGCCAAATAGGTGCCGACGAAAGGGACAAGCTTCGGTCCTGCATTGTTCAATGTTCCCCTATTCATTCTCTCTGCTACCTTCCAGGATCTTGAACAGGGTTGACGAAAAAAGCTAGGCTCGTTCGTCGAATTATGTAACCTCGATAGCGGCGTTTGATCGACAGTTTATAATAAAATCCATCGGCTATATAAGCGTTAAGGTCGATTCAGACCATACGACACGGACCGGCACCGACACAACAAAACATTGAAACACGCGTTTTAATGGAACTATTCACACTTAACAGACACCGACCTGAACGTTCCGTCAACGGGAATAGTGTGAATAGTTCCATTAAAATGCGTGTTTTAATGTTTTGTCGTGTCGGTGCCGGTACGTGTCGTTGCCGGTCCGTGTCGTATAGTTTGAATCGACCTTTACACACGCGACGTAAACGTAAACCATAACCGATAGATACAGTCAGTATTTAATTCAGTCAAACTTCTTCGATAGACATAGAGGGTACGAATATTTATGAGATTGAGTGTATATACAATCTTTACACTGGGAAGAAGAAAAGCGAAATTATTCTTTCATATGAAATATTCCAATGAACTCTGCTCGTTTAATCGAATTCCGTTCAGGGCCCTATTAATTGGCCTGGCCGACCGAGCCGCGTAATTGTTTATCGGTTAGCGAGCATCGAAGTGGGCGAGGGAAGTCGTCGATTTCTGACCCGCAATTACCGGCGCATTTATTCCACGAATCCTCACGCGAATACCGCGGATTTGCGGAGTTTTATAAGTTCACGCGAAAAGCGGCGAGAATTTCTGCGGTGATACATCGCGGTAAGCGATTCGTGTAACGCGTAATTTAGGTTTCATTCGACCAGGGATTTCCCGTGTAGGCGAAATCAACGAAACGGAATGACGTTCCAGGAATTCGAAGCTCAGAGGGATAACAATAGAAAAAGTAGAGGCAACGTCTACCGTGCGAACGAACAGTGCAACTGCGGCCTAGATTCCGCCTCATTCGTGATTTAGACGATAGAAGGCATCGATTAAAATCGCTAATCTCCTCTCGTTTCCTTACTCTATCGCAACACAGTTCCCAAACTAATTTTCAACGTACAATTCCGAAATTGTGCGACAACTCGCACGTTTCAGTTATATTTTCACGGCAAGCGTCTATACGTTACGATGACTTTTCGCCATCTGCCGTATAAGCTAGCCCCGTAATTTGGTTCTCGGTGTACGTCTCATCCTTTCGAGCGAAAAACTATTCCAAGCGCGTTTTGTACGCTTCTCCTGTACTTAAGTTTTAATTGTGAGGGAAGTTTTGCATAGACCGGAATTGGTGATAGTCCAATGGCGCTAAATCCGACAAATGGGGCGGATGAGGAAGAACGACCCTAGCTCCAGTTACATTTTCTGACTTCGCAGCGAAACATGCGGTCTCGCATTATCCCGCCGAAACCCGAGACCTTTCCCATTGGATAATTCAGGTCGGTTCTCCTTAATTGCCGCATTTAATTCTTCCAAGTGCGAGCGATGCAGGTCCGAATTTATGATCCGCTTGTTTGGAAGGAGATTCGAATTTGCATACTTCCTTTCGTATCCTCTGTCGAAAAATGAACGGGAAAAATGAAAAGAAAAAACTTAGAAACAGGGTAGCGAGGATAATGAAGAGTTATCGTTGGTAAATCGCCGTCTAACCCGTTTTCGAGTGAACTGCCGGAAGTGGTCCCGATTCTATCACTTGAAAGCGAGAATTTCAGTAATGCTCGTCGTCTAACACAGGAATTGGATTCCTTGATTCATTGGTTCGACGTTGAGCCCATCTCGAATTGGGGCGTGGGAGAAGGTGACGTGACGAGTGGGAGAGTTATCGGCGAAGGGACAGGAAACAAGCCTTAAATGCCACGCTACTTGGTGACCAACTGCGCAAAGGTTTGCGAATGCATATTATTGGCGGGTAGTTAGCGACGTTTTCCAAGGAATAATCTCAACGGAGCCTGAGTTTTAGTTAACCTCTCTTCTGCCCGCGTTTAAAAAAATAAGTAATTGTCTTGCTACGCTATAAAAGATAATTAACTGGAAGTTTGAGGAGTTTCGGTTGAAAGGAATCCTTTAGCCACTCGAAGCAAAAAAAAAAAAAGGATATTGAGAGGATAGATATCCGCCGCTAGAAGTAGACCATTGTGTACTTCGGTGTACAGAGTGTCTTGTTTATCATGGACACCTTGAACAGTTCCGTTAATATCGATAAACTTCGGGTTGGGTTAGTTTTCTATAACAGCCTTTTTGGTCGTTAAAATTAGCACAGCCTGTATCCACCTTCCGCTTACCATCCCTTCTGTTGTTTGTCAGCACTCACTGATCTCTTAACTTCTATTAGGCAGCGCAACGGTTGATGAATAATTCTGATAATCTCTCTCACCAAGTAATTAGCATAATGATCTATCCTTCTGAGATTGTTTCCGTTTTTATAATCTAATTGGTGTCGCGGGTGCAGAGTAAGGTTGAGGCGCTCTTTGTGATTGGGTAAGAGCCTCGCGCTCCCGCCTTGCGCTTAACTGAAATTCCTTTGTTGGGGCTAATGGAATTAGGTTAACGGCTATTTTGATCCGCGGGTTTGTAATTTAAGAGGGGATTCTGGTTTGTCGCCCTAGAAAGATCTAGTTTTCGTTGAGACAAAAAGCTAACTTTTGTCTTTGGAATAATAAATAAACATCAACGTACTCCAAAGGTTACTCGTCGTGGATGCTATCGCGTTATTTGTTAAATTACGCGGCTATTCGTTGGAGTTCGTCGACTGGGTTTCTAAAGCATTTGATCTTAGGCCGGCACAATTACCGTATAACATAAAGGAAGACGCATAGCGTGACTCGATAGGAAACAGGTGCTTCAGTGACCACATAAAGCCAACGATAATGACACCTGGATTTCCTGAAATCTTTAACAACCTATTGCAAAGTATTTTTTTTGTTCAAGGTCAATGTATTATTCAGTTTCCCAAAGAACGCGAACGTTGAAGTCTATACGATCGAGACGAGAACACGCTACTCAGATATAACGCTGTTTAAGTTATTAAACGAGTATTGCAATTTAGACAACGTGAAATTTGAGCGGACGAATAATACGAAAGTCGCATCGTTATCCAACACCCGGGAGAATCGTTGAACAGATCTTTCTCACAGATATTTCAAATATCAAACACATGTTTCCGAAAAACGCTTTCGTAAAACAGAGAATATGGTCTTAAAATATGAAGAAACCAAGAAAGTAGTCGCGTGTAAAATAGTGGTGTTAAAGCTGAGAATTTACTTCGTTTCAAATAAAAAATTGTCGAGCGGTCTGAAGAGCACGAACTACTTGGCGAATGGTACAGAGGAATCTGAATTCGTGGTGATTAATGAAAGCGGATCCCTGGTTCTAGGATGTTCACACTCAACAAGCGTTTGTGCTGTGTGAAAAATCCTCATTTAAAACATTCAGGCTTCCAGCTTTGTGTGAGTTTCACCGCTGAATTCATGGTCAATGATGAAGCTCGATTCTAAAAGCCTCGCTTCGTTTTGGAAATTTAAATACGGGCTGATAAGGTGCTCAGATTTTTAATGGAAAGGAAAATTACGTGGATGATGGTATTATATACAGCGATTTTAACGTTTTAACCGTGCTTCGGCTTGACCATGAATCGACAGTTTGCAAAACAGTTGGATAGCCAGCCTGTAAATGTCTGCTGGTAAGGAAACTGAGGTTATCAGGGTTATCGTGAAACATTGCGTGCGATACTGGTTCCACAATATCACAAAACTGTACGTCAATTATTCCATCTTTCACTAATTAACACATCGTTGACCGGCAATTTTACACAGAAGCGACTTCATGTCACCGTCTATTATTTTGTAATTTTTCTACTACTGAGCTACCGAGTGATATAAACCTAAATACCGAGAAAAGTATATTCTATTGTTGAAAAAGAATCAAAAACTAAACACGATAAGCAAAGCTTTTGCAATATTCTATATGACCTGAGTTTCATAAATTGAAATAGATAATGCAAGTGCAAACACGAGTTTACTCTTGACCGGTCAACGATATATTAAATGCGCGTCGCAGTTCTAATCGTATATCGGGAAGGAGATATAATTCAGCAAAACAGTAGATAATGGTACAAAGAACACGAAATTGATAACAGAATTCCAAAAGTATCGTCGTAGCTAAATGTAGTTACTCCGTTTAATCAGCACGAAAGGACCCACTACGAAGGTTAGAGATTTCTAATTTCAGCGAGACCTTCAACTATGCAAACAATGAATATTGCCAACGATTGTATTTAACAATATTAATTACAGCGGTTACGATCATGAATTCCGCGGCGACGAGGTGCGGCCACGCGGTTCGAGCAGGGGTTGTAGAAGTTCCACGGAAAAACCTTAATTCCGGAGCGCAGGACTTTCCCACCACCTTTCCGCGTTCATGCAGAGACTGTCACGGTTCTCCCATCTGCACCCACCCCGGACGGACGAGCTGCCGTGGCAAGCAGTCGGCTTCCTTCGTAGGGACATGCGCAGCGACCCGCGGAACGACAGGTGCGCGCCGTTCGCCACGAATTGCTTAGTTTCGGGTAAGCGTACGAATCGGTCGTATCGCGTTCACGCCGTCTCGTCTCTCAGGTCACATCGGTCGCTGCTTCTCTCTCTTTCCTATACCCTTATAGCGTTTCTCGCTCTCTCGTTGCGGTTTTTCGGTCCAGACGCATTCGACGCGTTTCGAACGCTGCACGATCGCAGCCGCGCCGTGCGACCTCGGATCACGACGACACCTGACACGGATACACCAAAGGGATCGTTCCTCGAATTACCCCATCGAGAATCCTTCGGTTCGCACTTGTCGACGCCCTAGATCCCCCGACTTTCCCAGTTTCTCACCCGCTCCGTTTCGCTCCTTCTTTCTCGCTCGACACCGCGGGCTGCTCAGTAGCCCGCCGTTTATCGAGCGTGCACGTGCTTCAGAGTTCGCTGCTTCCTTGTGTTCCGACTGACACGCTTTTAGCCAGCTAGGGGAACGGTTCCTGGCGGTTCCAACGGGTCGCTCCCGACGGAATTCCGACCGTGACGCACTCGAAAGGTGTATCCTTCCGGAGCTACCGCCGGAATCCTCGACTCTTCCGCTTCCCCGAGCTCGTGCGGGCTTTCTGCGCTCGGAATCAGATGTCCGGCAGACCGATCGCGGACCTCTGCCAAAGAACCACGGATCCAGCGGTCCGAACCACCGGTTGTCCAGCTACCATAGGACCGGTGTGATCATCGGCGAACTCTGCGACGCATCGAGTTCCTCGGTAGCTGGACTGGACCGTAAATATATCGCGGTACTGTCGGTGTGTTTAGCGCGTGTGAAGATCAGGATAGAGCGCCGTGAAGAGATAGATCACGGTGGAGTGGTGAGACGAATGTGGTGCGTGAAGTATTGAATCGTGGTTCGTTCGTCGTCAGTTGCGAGGATGGCTGGTAGACCGGATTTACAGAACAGGACTAGGGGGAAGGACGCGGTCGCCACGATTTTCCTGCTGCTTCTCGCGCAGTTTCAGCTTCTTCGAGACGTCAAAGGTGAGTTTTCTTGTTTCTCTCTGCGTCTCGGAGTCTTCCAAGTCTCCGCGAAACTCGCGGTGGATTCGTGGGAAGGGAATTGTTTAGCGTTGCACACAGAGGTGACTGAAATAATAAATGAAATTACCGTGTAGCTACTATTCTCGACGTCTACGCAATCCAAGAGTCGAGTTTTCGGTGAAATACTTAAGCTTCGAAGCCTTAACCAACCGCGTTTCAAAGATTACAGAGACGAATAAAAATCTGCCCTTTCGCGTGTCACCGCCACGTCTTCGTTATCCGAGTCTCAAAGGTCGGATGCGGAGGATTCGTTTAAGCTCCGGTCTCCAGCAGCCGCTAGGACGTTATCTCCCGAGTCATTTTTGCTGCTGGAGTCTAATCCCCCGAGTTTCACGAGGAGTAGACCCTGAACGTAAACATTCGTTTGTCCTTTATTTTTCATTCGTAACTTCGAACGGGGTAAGAATTTTGCCCGGCTCTGTATACACGCGAGGAACACGACGCGCGATTCGCGCAACGTGGAAACGGGTCGTGCGTGAATTCGACAAAAATTACGTACACGTACTCGGTGGAAGTTAGGAACACTTGGGAAATTTAGAGGTTGTCAGGGAAGCGGTAAGAAACGCGGAAAACGGTTCACGAAAAGGAACAGGAATGCGAGAACGCGTGCACCGATGGTCCGTGATACGTGGCGAAATTTACAACTGGAAAACGAGTGAACGCGAGTAGAAAGTTCTTGAGAGTTCTCCAGCCGCCGCATGATGTAAACGACGAAACAAAAAACACAGTCTCGAGTTCGTAGGGGGTGGGCAACAAACGTGAGCCCGGTTCTGTCGCGTGTTTCGTGAATATGTTTCACGTTATTTGCGGAACTTGCTACTCTAACCCCGGAAGCGTGGGGCAACTTGGACTCGTCAGTGATAAACATACCCCCAGTTGTGTCACACGAGGGATTTAATACCAGGAAAACAATTAGATCAATTATTTGGGAAGTTGAGGTCGCGATAAGGATAAATAATTTAATCTCTTCGCGACCCACGGTATCGTTTTCCACGCGAACCAGTTTCCATTTATGTTGTTATTGCGATATCAGTGCTGAGTTTCGCTTTCAAGGATAATTCTTCGAGGTTGGAATATTACTTGCGACCATGCTCTGTGACATATTTTAGTGCGATGATGGAATATTAGAGATTTTAAAGTAAAGAAAATCACGTAGTAGAATACCAACACTTCTTTTTGCTTCTTTTCTGAGAAGTAATCGTTGTAACCGGGCGAAGGCACAAAGGGCTTAAGATTACTACGATTTATTACAGAGTTCTTCAAACTTTTTTAGTCACGGAACATCGTTCGTCTCACGGTAAATTTATGGAATCATTACATGCTTTTATGGCAAATTAGGTTTTAAAATGAATATTTTGTCTCTAATGAAAGAAATAAGGCGGGAGGGAAATTAGTTCACCGGTGGATGGTACTTTTTGACGTTGAAAATTACATTACATTATCACCTCTATTTTAGGTCCTCTTCGGATAGATGATCCAAATATGAATTTGACGGTGCAGAGTGCATCATTAGCGATGCTTTTACCATTCTTTTTCCGATCCTGATATAATTTTCGACATTTGATAGCGAGCCACTCTACCATAAGTTTTATATTTGGATCATCTATCTAAAGAGGACAAAAAACAGAGGTCGATAAATAATAAAGCTGGTTTCGATGTCGAAAATCACTCTATACGAGAGAAGTCATTAATCTCTAACTTCGTTCATTTTAAGCACCCCTGAAAACATAGAAAGTCCTTCCTTTCTGTAACGTATGTTACTTGAGCAACCTGGTAACGCAAATCAAATATATAGAATACACAATGGAATCTTGTTATAACAAGCGTCGGCACGGCTGTAACGAGCAGGAGGCCATACTAATTTTAATTTACGCGTATTTCAATGGAATCGTTCACTTTTATAACGAGCGTATCGCACGAATATACCGTACACACTTTTCGAATTACGGGGAACATCAAATTGAATTTTTTTAAACAGACGTCTGATACGAGATTCATAATTGAAACTTTAATTGAAAGTATGTTCATCGTCAATTGATATTGCTCCGTAACGCGTGATTTTAAAGTAATGAACGAATGAATTACGTAAATCCAGATTCATAAGCAGAATTTATTATATACGTTCTTCGCTTCCTGCTCTCAAACGCACATCCTTGGCGAATATTGGAGCTTATACGTGTCACATTCTACTTTAACGCGTCGAATATTGCACGAGAGTTAGCATAGCTACCGTGATTGTCTAAATCACCCCCAACGGTGTGATCTGTGCTACAAAGGGTGTTTGCTAATTCACATTACAAAGCTTGTACGCGCGTGTCGTTTGTAAGAATAACTAGGAAGGTGTGATGCAATCGATACTAAACGGTTCGATGATTAAACCACCCAAGTACGTAACTGAAAGCAAATACAGGACGGCGAGTGTACAAGTATCCGATTACAAAAGCAAGAAAATCCGATCTTTGTAATTACAAGACTGGAACGAAAAAAGAAATCCTTGGTATGATTATACTTGGTTTGAGAATTACTGCAACGAAGTATGTACTGAAACGATAACGAATTCTTTGAAAGACTTTGGAATAACAAGTGCGAAGTCGGTAGAAGTCGCGGAAAAAACGAGATAAAAACAACTGTTCCGATATGAAGAGGGAGAATCAGGAAAATTCAAGCGCGGTAGAAAAATAACACCAACTACACAGTTACGGAGAGAACGGGCTTTGCATCGAGAAGCCCCGGCGTACCACCCAGCGGGTGTTGAAATAGGAAAATATTACAAGCATTTAATACTCGCTTTTCTAAGCCCTTTCATTTGTTTAATTTCCGTTCTTTCTTCTATTTTTCGCTAAACCATTTGCGCGGTTTTTTACGTCCCCCACACGAATCGAATACTTTGTACAATTTCATTTTGTTTCGATGATTTCTCAGCCTTTCAGACTTTGAAACTGTGACATACAAAAATAATTGGCAGCATAATTGGCTTGTACATTCGTAAAACGAAAATATAAAAACGTTTATAATGGGTATATGCTTCATCGGAGCATCGTTAAGTTGCTGATGCGTATCGAGATTGTTTGATCGTTTCCTCGCCACCCTGATTCTCGTAACCTGGCCCCGAGACACAGCGAGCTGAAATTAAAATTGCAGCAGCAATTCAGGCCACAGTGCGACGCTGCAAATTAATATTTGCACACAGAGGGCGGAAGTAAGCATACGCGCGTGAAATCGAAACGAGGGGAAATAAGGTTTCCGTGTTGGGAGTTCTGAGAGGTCGGCTAGCGAAAAGTTCATGTTAGGATTCCCTAGCAAACATTACGCAATTTGAAACTCTACTTTATCGAATGACTGAGACATAATGGTATTTTATCTATGGCAGGCATGCCATCAATTTAATCGATTTAATTTAGCGGATGATCGTACAAGGAGACGTTCGCTTCGCGAATGATTAATATCTCTAACGATTCTTTAAATACAATTTCCTTCGAGAAGTACGAAAGTTTAAAGATGACAATTTTTTTTTTTTTAATTTTGTAGGTCGAGGTTTAAAAAATAATGTGCAAATGGTCCCATACTGAAACTCGCATTAGCGAGCAAGTTATAACCCATTAGCGCCAGCGGTGTACTTGGTCGGTTATTGCATTATGAAACTTTTAACGCGTTCTTCTCGATACGGTGCTTTTTAAAAGCTCGTACGCAATAACTGCAAAACGGCTGAAACAATCAACTTTAAATTGGGTGTAAATATTCGTAATTTACCGCATGGAATCACGGGTGATTTCTCAAACGATCCAATAACGATAGTTAGGTGTCAACCACGACTCCATCGACGAGATCCCTTTGAAAAATTCTTTATTAGCCTGACAGCGACCGTGTTGAAAATAGCAGAAAGCAGGGCGAATGAAATAGCGCTGTATATTCCGAGATACCTTGACAGTACGCGAGTCATCGTACGAAAATGTGCAACGCTAACGCGGGTACCTCCGTGTTTATTATCCAGTCTAGGGCCGTGCAGGAAATTCTGGTACATCTTGTATAGCACTTGGCGCGAAGTTAATGAACTTTGCAGAATTCACCTTCTTCGCGACGAGCAGAGAAATCGCTGCGTTCGCCTAGGCGGAAGTCTTCGAACAGTTGCGAATGGGATTTCCCAGTCTGTTTCCGTATCCAGTGCCTCCCTCGAACAATTCCGCGCGAGAAATAACTCCATTGTTAACGACTGCTGGTTCAAACTCGTAGCTTTTATTGGCAGCAGCGTTTTCAGTCTTGCAACGCGAACAGCTTTCAAGACGCGGAATGTTACGGATTCGTAAATGGAGAAAGACGCGGCGATGCACCTCTGTATCTCACCTTCGATGTTATTTTCATCCCTAATTCAAGGTTAGGCGCCGGAGAAAGTTCGTCGTACCTATCTCTCTTCTTTTCGAAGTTTGGAGGGTTTCTGTAGACCCTTTGGTGCTTTGTTGGCGAGGGCGTCTCGTGTTTAAACTTCGGCGTAACCTAACACAGGATGTCTCAAAATATGTAGTTCACCTTGAAAAGGTACGAGAAGTGGATCGAAAGAGAAAGTAAGTCGTAAACGTGCAGGAAAATTTCTCGATTATTCGAGCGGTTGGAATAAATAATGAATTTGAATTCAACGTTACACGGAATGGTTAAAATTTCGATTCGTTTCTGTCGAGGTATCGTGTAGGTTGAGATTATAGCATGTATCGCGAGACAGCTCAGAGAAATATCGGTGTAAAACGTGGAATGATTCGTGGATGGATAGAACCATCTGTAGGTATCGCGGCGACCTCGTTTCCAGAAGTGCGGGGTTTCTTTAGGGGTGAAGAATATCTGTTGACACAATCTTGTACGAAGTTTCCAATTTTATCGGTGCGTGGTTCCGTCTTTAAAAACTCAACCACGTAGAGTCTCGTGGTACAATTCGGAACGAACGGCTCTTC